TAAGAGCACGCAATAATTAACTGAGGCCTAGTTCGTTTACGACGATCAGTATAAAAGAACATCCCTCTCTGGGATCCTGTTCAATACATAAATGTACTAGTGCAACTAATCGGTCAAGACAAACAGTACGGCTGACACTACAACCGTTCCGATGGGTTGTTCAATTCCATCTAGGTTGTGAACCAATGATTCTTGTTTCGCAAGTAACTGATATAGTGATCTTCGGTACGCCCCATGACGACCCACTTATCTACATGCAAAACAACAGAACATGGAACTTATTTAACCAAACATAATTCTCATTCATCAAGAAATAACAAGTGTAATATCCACTAAAGCAAAGCTTAAGTATATAACACCAACAATCTCCCACTTATACTTAAAGCTGCCGCTTTACTAGTATAGTCCTATCAATCCGTATCCTAAAAGATCTATGTCGATCCTATCACCATACATTTGACTCCCATTCCCTCTACGTGTTTGTCGAAAACCTATTCCGGCAAACTCTTCGTAAAAGGGTCAGCTAGGTTGTCTTCTGATGCAATCTTGGTGATCTCAACTTCTCCTCTTGCCACAATATCTCTTATAAGGTGGTATTTGCGCTCTATGTGTTTGCTTGCTCTATAGGCTCGTGGTTCCCTCGAGTTCGCTACTGCACCACTATTATCACAGTACACGGTAATAACATGTGGCAAACTCGGAATCACTTCTAAGTCCACCAAAAAGTTTCTGAGCCAAACTGCCTCTTTTGCTGCCTCAGAGGCTGCGATGTACTCGGCTTCCATAGTGGAGTCTGCTATGCACTTCTGCTTAGCACTCCTCCATGAAATGGCTCCACCTCCCAAGGTAAACACATAACCTGAGGTTGACTTACTCTCGTCCCTATCTATCTGAAAATCAGAATTGCTGTAACCCAGCGGAAACAAACTGTCTGCATGGTAAACTAACATGAAATCCTTAGTCCTTCGCAGGTACTTGAGTATATGTTTCACCGCAGCCCAATGTTCCCTTCCTGGATTACTTTGATATCTCGCTACCATGGGCGTAGCTAATATCAGTCCTAGTGCACAGCATTGCATACATGAGACTTCCTACTACCGAAGCATAAGGAATTGTCTTCATGTCCTCTATCTCCTCAGTCGTCTTAGGAGACAACTCCTTAGATAAAGGTACTCCATGTCTAAAAGGTAATGTACCACTCTTAGAGTTCGGCATACTGAATCTGGCCAAGACAGTATCTATATATGAAGACTGGGATAAGCACATC